TTACTTGTTGTAAGCAAAACAACTAACACAAAGTCCAGGATATCAATCAGGTCGATAAGACAGTCCAGGGTCGGCGCCGGTAAACAGGTATAGCCAGGGGATCCAAACTCGAGGTCAAGGGGGACAAAATCAGAAGGTCGGTACACTGCAGGCGAACAGAATCTGGGAGGGCATAGACAAAACACGGTGGTCAAAAACCGGTAATCCAAAGTCAAAAACAGAGAGTCAAGCAAGGTATAAATGCTGGAGAGTCAGAGCTGGGGTCTAGAACAATCTGGCAGCGTCCTGGTGGGAGGACGCTGCCTAAATAGAAGTAAAAAACAGATGCAAACAATAAGGAGCAGGTGAAATAATGATGATTAAATAAAAGGGCCAAAACTGAGGTGAAACAAAACAGGAAGTAATGTGAAAATAAAAGCATGACAGGAAGCAAGAGGGGCAGGAGCGTGACAATATGGGGACGGAGATTTGTTTTCATCTCTACAGAAAATTTATAAATAGACCCTACTTTTCCAGTCACCCAATAAGCCCTACATGAACAGGGTGCCAAGTTTTGCTCTTGCAGTTTTACAGTGGCTGCCCCCTTTTGGACATGTCCTGTTTGCATGTTCTGAAAAGAAAATGTGCATGTCAAAAAACAATGTATTGTTTGACTTCATTAAGTCTATGATTTATACTATTTGTTTTCTGGTTGTATTTTCTGATTATCTAAGTACACAATGTATCTGTTTCTGGTAAGGAAAAAAACATAAGTTTAAATAATATTTTATCACAGAGCCACCAAAGTGAAACAAGGTTCTTTCTCAGACAAAAGGCTCTGGAGTGGTTGAATCTTTCACTGCCTGATCTGTTACTTGACTCTCACCCGCAGTCATTTTGACTGTACCTACAGTATAGATTTTGTATAAATATGTCCTTGAATAAAAAGGTATGATTATGAAATGATAATTTTTGAATATTTGTATTGAAATATTTTATGAACAAGGTTGGGATTTGTGAGCATATTATTGAATCTCAATTGAGTATTAGATCTGATAATACTATATACAGCGGGTACGGAAAGTATTCAGACCCCCTTAAATTTTTCACTCTGTGTTATATTGCTGCCATATGCTAATATCATTTAAGTTCATTTTTTCCTCATTAATGCACACACAGCACCCCATATTGACAGAAAAACACAGAATTTTTGACATTTTTGCAGATTTATTAAAAAAGAAAAACTGAAATATCACATGGTCATAAGTATTCAGACCCTTTGCTCAGTATTTAGTAGAAGCAGCCTTTTGAGCTAATACAGCCATGAGTCTTTTTGGGAATGATGCAACAAGTTCACACCTGCATTTGGGGATCCTCTGCCATTCCTCCTTGCAGATCCTCTCCAGTGCTGTCAGGTTGGATGGTAAACGTTGGTGGACAGCCATTTTCAGGTCTCTCCAGAGATGCTCAATGGG